TAAGATAAGTAGAGAGCTTTTAGTGTATTATTTAAACTCCAAGATGTCATATTTTATATTTTAATCAAATATTAAAATATTAAGGCAACATTAATATTAATATTATTATTCTATTATTGAATTTTTTTTTTAATAATTAATCAAATTAATGGGTTGGGTTGGTGGGGAGGNATTAATATTATTATTCTATTATTGAATTTTTTTTTTAATAATTAATCAAATTAATGGGTTGGGTTGGTGGGGAGGGTGTTGGCGGCCAGGTTTTAGTGTTACACGGTCTTTAAAAAAGCCACGGAGGCGCAGAGTGACGTCGCTTAGATGGTTGTACACGTGGCAGATTTTCGGGATTTCATGGTCGAGAGAGAATGAACACTTAACAAGCGACAAAAGCAAAAGCCAAATGGGACCCATAAAATGGTGGGTCAAGCCATTTCACATGGGCCCCACATCTGACGTGGTAACAACAGTCTCACAAATATTACTTTTTTAGCCGTGTTTTCATTATAGTGACAGGATTGTGCAACATGAAAAAAGTCTCCAAGCCCATCCATCTAATATTAAAATTTATAAATTAATTTAATGAATATATTATAAATTAATTTTATGGATATATTGAATTATGTCTTTATAATATTATTATTTTTAAAATATACAGATGTAAATGAACAGTCAACTATATCTATATTCAGATAAAAAAAAACTATATCTATATTAGATAATATATTTTTTGATAAATAAAAAGTTACTTAGAACTAGATGAAGAAGAATTTAAGAAAAAATGGTACAATAGAACCCAAAATGAGACTAGAAAAAAATGTGATAGAACAAGACTCAAGTAGTTGACCACTTAACAATCTCAATATTTTGTTTAATTAAAAGATTAAGAGAATTTTATATTCGAGGAAACTCCAAATACTTGAGTTTACAATTGAAGGGAACATACGTTCGGTTGTTGGTTCGAGAAAAGGGTCCCCTAGCCATCCACTGTCCCTCAAAGACCTTTTCGGTCTCTACTCTCGCTTCATTGTTTCCTTCGGCCTTGAATACATCTTTCGGCTTCCCAAGTGAANAAATTTTATATTCGAGAAAACTCCAAATACTTGAGTTTACAATTGAAGGGAACATACGTTCGCTTGTTGGTTCGAGAAAAGGGTCCCCTAGCCATCCACTGTCCCTCAAAGACCCTTTCGGTCTCCACTCTCGCTTCATTGTTTCCTTCGGCCTTGAATACATCTTTCGGCTTCCCAAGTGAAGTGCATGAATTATTAGAGAAAGAGGGAGCAAACTTATATAAAAAAATATTTTAAGCAAATTCAATAAATAGATAGAATCAACGATACAATTGACAACATTATCTACACCTGAAATCCATCCCCTAGTGAAAATCATTTGGTGGTGTTCTCTCATTTGTTGTCCTCTTGTGTGATGCACAAAATTTGTAATATATTTTTATTGTCATCCTTATTCTCACACCCCAACCCCATTCCTAACCATTATTGAAAAATTTATTTATTAATGTCCTAATTTGATAATTTCTAAAAAAAATCAATGTATAATGGTTAGAAAAGATGATGAGAGATTCACAACGGAGTAATAAAAAAAGTTGAAATATGATTCATGGACTATATATTGATATTAATTTTAATAATTTAAATTAGAAAAAAAAAAAAAGGAATTGAGGAGCAAAATTGTCTAATTTTTTTTTATTAAATTAGTTTTTACAGTATATAGTGGAAAAAAAATGCTAAATGTGCGATGACTTGATCGATACCATAAGGAGAAAGGAGTATCGCGTTGAAGACAAAAATTATTTTCATTAAGAAAGTTGACAAGTGGTAATCCTTTAAACGAGAAAGTCAAATACCTAATAATACAATGAAAATGACAAAATAAAAATCTCATTTATTACATGTATACAATGTTGGGTATTGCCTTCTAAATTTAGTGTTTGTTTTATTTACAAAATCAATTATTTTTGTCATTGCAAAAAATAATTTATGGATAAAATAATTGTTCACCTTTGATCAAGTTTTCACTGTGCAAGGTGCCCTCTATAGTGGGTTTGTGACAAGTTAATGCCATTTTAGGGTCTAAAATATAACCAAGAGGTAGGGTGTTCATGGGCTGAATTGCTCCCGGGTCCTATTACTTGACCTGAAAAAATAGGCTTGAAATTCGATTGACTCATCTGAGCCCAGCCTAATATCACAAAAAATCTGTTAAACCCTTGCCCAAGAACCTTCTTTTCTTTTTCATATATTAAATACACACTTGGATAGAGTTGTATAAATGATAGACAGGTGGATATGTACCAATCTAATTGGAATGTGCTCATTCTATTGTGATGCAGTTTCTCTCTTATTTATAAATAAAATTATTAATTATTTATTTTATATTATTTTGACTATACTTTTAATTTAAAAATATAATTTATAAAAATATTTATAATTTTTAAATAAAATTATACATAAAAGCCCGTCTAGTAGGCCTTTCCAGCAGGGCCACCCAGTGAGTGATAGGTTGGGGTTGCGAGTAGGCTATTTCTACTCAAAATTCGGACCTCCTGATAACTCACTTGGATAAAGAATTGAGCATAACTTATCCAAGCTCAATCCAAAAAAAAAGATTGTAGGCCGAGTCCAGCCCGCCTATGAACACCCCTACTAAGATATTTGTCATAATTTAAATAATATGGACATATTGATATGTATGAAAAATATACCATAAAATATGGGGCATCATAATATCTTTTAGACATTAATATGCCATTTTTCAAATATCTTGACAGATATAAAAACTTTGATATATTGTTTACTAGGGCAAATCTCATTTTGTATTTGAAAATATTTATGATTATTTTATTATATTTAATAATTAATTAATTATATATTATTTTTAATTAAATGTGTTAAATATTTTTATTTTTTAATTTGTATAGTTTGATTTATTTTACTGGTAATTTGACTGATTTTAGTTATGGAATGTAATTCGGCTACGTTTAAATTAGTTTAGGTTGGTCACATGGTGTGTGCTGTCATCAGTTGTGTAAGCAGTGACATTAGCATTTCTCTACCGTAAACTAAAATGATATTTACTGATGAGTGGATGTGAGAGAAAGTGGAGGGCCATCCAATAAAATCAAAAATCACTTGCCACGTAGGACAACGTGTTCGGTATTCGAAAGTGAACTCCGTCACACGCGCGTGAACCATACGCGACACCATTAAGGTTTTAAATACAATTTTTTAATCGCTTTTTTTTTGGACAAAAATTTGATCATGCGGGTGATTGTGGGTCCCAGAACACGTCATCGTTGTTGNTCGACACCATTAAGGTTTTAAATACAATTTTTTAATCACTTTTTTTTCGGACAAAAATTTGATCATGCGGGTGATTGTGGGTCCCAGAACACGTCATCGTTGTTGCCACATCTACAGTACGTGACAATATAGGGAAATAATTTCTTTAGATCGGCAATGCCGAAAAATGTGGGACCCACCATTTCTGGGAAGTTCCGTGACCGTGACCGTGACTCAAGACTTCCCCTCCCACCACTTCTCACCCCACGGTGTTCAATGACTCTCCATCGTCCGATCAATCTACTCCGACGGCTAAGATCTTGGCTCGCTGCTCAACGCTTGCCAGCTAGGACTGGCTTGTTCGTGTTTTGGAATCTGGAGGGTTTATTTAATCAACACGACAACACCGCTGCCACGTCAGATGTGAATCGAACGGCCTGGACGGTTCCCCTTTTTTATATCGGGAAGATCTTGATCGTTGGTATCACTTTTCAGGTGGGACCCATTTAATTTGGATCACCACCACCATAATTATGGATACAATAATGGGGTCCACGCACTTTCATTTTTTTTTATTTAAACAATGTCATTAATTTAAACTTTTCTATTTTTTAGTTTTATTTAATTTCATATTTTAATAACCAATAATTATAAGTGGATCCGGTTAACATTTACCATTCTTAATTAATTTTTACAATCTTATTTCATTATTCTAGACTATTGATTTTGATTTAGATAATTTAAATTATTAATTAAAAAGATAATAAAAAATTATATAATTAATTTTTTTTACAAGTAATGTAACATATTCTTATTGGTTGAAAATTAAACAACATACAATATATCTATTATAAATATGTTTTTGTTGGTCAAAGATTATGAATATGATGAAATTAAATAAAGTAAAAGAAATATGAACTTAATTACTGACCTAATCATTTATAACTATTAAATTCACAATATGCCCTAATTATTATTGGGGTCCATAACTAATTTAATAGTTATGACAAATTAAGTTAATAAATTATAAAAATAAATTAATCTAATAGTTAATAATTTAGAGATTCCCATGTTTAATCCCTTTTCACATCTAAGACTAACAACTTTTGTCTTTCATGGACATGTTCTAACACAGATTAAATCAATGTAATAGTAACTAAGTTTGGAAAATAGTCGGTATAAATTTAAACACCCTATAATTTAATAAAAAAAATCAAATAATCTATTTAATAAAATAAATATGAAAATATAAAAAATGTGACCGGAAAAGGATATTTTTTGCGGTCACCTACAAGATTCCTTGTGAACGTCATGGTTGCTTTTACCAAGGTTGTTTCCCTGAAAACCGGTTATAGCCGGTCAGAAAAAGAACCTCTTAAACGTACCCAGGAGATTAGTTTGTTTTATCGTGAAAAGTGCCCTCTCATAAGTCATAATAATGCATTATTATTATATTATATTAATTTAATTAGAATATTAATTTTTAAATCAATACATGGAAGCTTGTTGAGGACGAAACAAAACTGATACGTGTCAGTAACTGGAAGACCAATTAACCTGACGGCTGATTCTTTGCCATGCTGGAAACAGAAGATTTTGGCCGTTGGATTGGTTTTGGGAATGGGACGGTGGAGATCGGAGTACTTGTCAAAAAGCATTGATCTGATTCATCCACGAGGGTTTGGAGAGATATTGAAATACCGGAAAGATGATGAGATAGAGAGCAGAAAAAGAGGACAAGGGAGAGAGAAGAGAGAAAGTGAGGATAGAGAGAAAAGGCGAAGTTAGGGAAGAGTAGAGAAAAGAGAAGCACAGAGGGAGAACCATACAGATCTTTGGAAGTGCCCAACTCTTGAAAGATTTTTGAGTGAACGATTCTCGGTTTCGTCGGAGACCACAGTGAATCTTTAATTTCCGGCGAGTCTGACAATATCTGGCGAATTCTTCTGCAATATCAGTCTCGGATGAGAAACAACCTTATTTCTCATCTGGGTCTTATTGATTTTGTCAAGAAACATCAACGATAAATGGATAGAAACCGAGAAGCCAGAAGAGTAGCAAGTATGGTACCCTCTAATGGTTTATCTAGACGAAGACATAGAAGTAACAGTCTAAGAGACTCGCCAGGTTCAAAGCTTGCTCAGATCTAACGGTATTCTTCAATTTTTTACATTGATTTTTCTCTCGGGGTTTCTGATTTTTTTTGTTGGTGAAATTGCAGAGGATGATGGACCGATGGAATTACAAGAACCATCAAGGTTGAGAGATAGAGGGTTGAAGAAAGATCGAGATCGGGATCGAGATCGAGAGAGAGAAAGAGAGCGCGACAGAGACAGGTCAAGTCGGAGTAAACGACGAAGAGCGGAGAGATTGATTCACGGTGGTAATAGAGAAGATGGAGGAGAAGATAGTTCAGAAGAAAGTGTGAATGATGACGAGGAAGACGATGAAGAGGACGGTGGAAATGGAACTGGACCGGTCCGGATGCTACCACCGAATCCGATGTCAACCAACCATCATTTACAGCCCCGGAAAAGTTACCCACCGAGCTCTGCGAAAGTTTTTAGGGCTGCGCCGGTGTGGAAAGCCGGCGATGAAATGATCGGCGTGTCGGTACCCAGAAAAGCTCGGACAGGTATAGGAATGATGGTTGATTCAGTTGATAAATTATTTATATTTGTGAATGGTTTGATTGGACGTTCGCTAATTTTGTTTTGATTTTTTTGTGGTGTTTTCAGCATCCACGAAAAGGTCACATGAGTGGATGAATGGCGGTGGTGGTGAAAGAGTAGTGGGTGGAGGAGGAGAGCAGATACATCGGCAAGCTTCGACTTCACCGGTGAGACAAAGTCTTCCTTCAACCTCGACGCCTTCGCCGGGAGCTCCACTTTCTCCGTCTTCTTCCAATGCTTCGTTTCGGAAGAAGATGGTCAGTCAAATCACTATTCTCGACCACTTCTTATTCTACCCTATTTTTGCTTTTGTGTTCTCAAAAAACTCAATTTGGTTGTTGTTTCTGTAGAAGTTGAATGGACCCAAACACAGACCGCCAAAGATGTCTTCGAAGTCGTCTTCATCAAATCCTGAGGAGCTGGAGATCGAAATCGCCGAGGTTTTATATGGGTTGATGACTCAATCTTCAAAGAAAGAAGTGGTCTCAAACGAATCGGCTAAGTTTGACTCAAGGGAGCTCAATAAATCCACAAGTGATTCAAAATCCAGAGTTTCGTCTCCGATCTCGAATTCACCATCGACAAATCCTCAGTCATCGGCGATTTTGCCACAAAACTCTAGCTCCTCAGCTACTCCCATATCAGCAGTTGGTCTGTTTCTTCCGCTCAATCCCTCAATTTCTTCAAGTGGATGGACATAATGCAGATTTTTTTTCTAATGAAAATGTGTTCTTTTGGTTTGCTTTTGCAGCGCCGAAGAGGAAGAGACCGAGACAAGTATCAGAGAATATGGGGAGTTTTGGTGTCCGGAGCAGCCCCATTTCAACGACGATCACGAAGGTCGAGATCGATCAGCTACCAAAGACCGAAATTTCTTCTCCAAGTATGGATAAGAATCCAGGATCTGCAGCTGAAAATGGTGGAGTACCGTACGATCTGGGTAGTTTGGTCAATTCACAGCCTTTGACCTCACCATCGGAGCCTATACCGGAGATGATGAAGCCGGATTCGGAGTCACAGGCAAAGACGGAAAAAGTAGCCGAAAGTCGAGATTTGCCTTCGGGCAACGGAGATGTCACGGCAAAGAAGGAACCTCCTGTGGTCAGATTAGAAGATAATCTTCAGGGTGTGACAGCGACAGCAACCAAATTGTGAGTACCCAAAGATTTTTTTTTTTTTTTTCATAATTGTAATTCTTGAATTTTTGATGGGTTTTGGTTATATATGTTAATTTTCGATGGGTTCTGATTATCTATGTTAATTTTTGATGGGTTCAGGAATTCAATGGTTTCTGAGGGGGAGAAGCCCAAGGAGGAAAAATTCAAGATAGATCTGATGGTGAGGGTGAAGATAAAGTTCAAAATCTTTTCCCCTTTTTCTGGGGGGGTTTTGATCTAATAAATTTTTTTCCCTGGCTCTCAGGCTCCACCTCCTCAATTGAGATCATCACCGGAAAGAGAAGGCGATTTCGGGGTGGCGGCGACAGTGGTGGAGGACCATAAGCCGATGATATCTAATCTTGATTCGGTGAGTAGTGATTGTTTTTTTGTTGATAAATAAGTTTTTTTCTCAAGTTGTTTGGTTTGGTGGAGGTATGAATGAGTATTTTTTGATATTTGCAGGAAATGATGAGACCAAAGGAAGATGATAAGGAAGCTATGTATGTGGCAGCTGAGGAGAGAAAGGTGAAATCGGCGGTGGAAGAAGTTCAATTGCAGAAGCCAGTTGAGAACAAAGTGAGAAATATTGATCTTCAGCTTGATTTGGAAAAACCTGAGAGAGAGAGTGGAAACAACAAATTTCAACATCAGGCCCAGAAGCAGCAACAACCACCTCCACCAAAAGCAACCGGAGAAGAATCACATTCAGAGAAAACATGTACGTTTTTCTTTTTTTTTTTTTCTGAAACTCAGAGAAAACAAGTTATAAGAAATTTCACTTTCTTTATTAGGAAATTTACTTTCTTGATGTGGTGGGGTCTCTGGATTTGGTGGGATGTTAATTGAGTTATTGTTTTTTTTTTGATTCTGTCAGCTCAATCCAGCTCGTTGCCTTTGCCAATGTCTATGGCTAGCTGGCCTGGTGGGCTTCCTTCAATGGGGTATGTTCGGATAGATTGATAATTTTTTCGTTTTCATGGTCATTTGTTTAGTAATTGTAGCAGTATTTTATGGGTGGATTGGTTTGGTGTTCTTTGGAGAAATAACTCTGCTGATCATGAGCAGATACATGACACCATTGCAAGGAGTTGTGTCCATGGATGGTAACGCCATGTCGGCACCAATGCAGGTATCACATGTTGCTACTTTCGTTAGTTCCTAATTCTTATGGTGTTTGATTCTGAAGTCTTGGATCAACTTTGACTTCATTTCCTCCTTTCCCATTTTAATTGTGAAACTTATGAACTTGTCCAGCCACATTTCTCTCAACCACGGCCGAAAAGGTGTGCAACACATTGTTATATTGCTCGGAACATTTACGTCCTCCAGCAATTCATGAAGATGAACCCTTTCTGGCCAGCTGCAGCAGGGACTGCATCTTTGTTTGGAGCCAAGCCCAGCAATCTCAACATTGTACCACCTGCAGAATTGAATGGAAACATCTCTGGTAGGGGCATGAACTCTATGCAGGACAAGGGGCAAGGTCTTGCGATCTTTCCTGGCCATACTGGGAAGGACAAAGGTCCTCAAGCTGCCAATATTGCTGATGCTGCACAGAGCAAGCAGCAGCCGATTTTGCTTCAGCAAGCAATGCCCCCAGTAGCCCCTAGTAATATTCTGGTATGATACCTTCTTCTGAATTGCATTGCAATCACATCCAAGGAACTCTAGTAATTTGGTGTGATTTTTGAAATTTGGTTGATTTTGTTTGTTGGGTTTGCAGCATGCCCCTGCTTTCATCTTCCCTTTGAGCCAGCAACAGGCGGCAGTGGCAGCTGGTTCTGTTCGACCTGCATCTACAAAGTCTCCTACAACCACAAGAGGGTTAGCTTCATCCAATGCTTCTAGTTCTGCTAATGTGAGTAACTCTGCAACAACAGCCGGAGCAGCCACTGCGATGAGCTTCAATTACCCAAATATGCCTACGAATGAAACCCAGTACTTGGCAATCTTACAGAACAATGCATACCCTTTTCCAATACCAGCTGTTGGAGCACCGCCAAATTATAGAGGAACTCATGCTCAGGCTATGCCGCTGTTCAATGGGTCATTCTATTCTTCTCAGATGATCCATCCATCACATCTTCAGCAGCAGCAGCAAGCACCACTTTCTCAGTCACACCAAATGCAACAAGCCAACCAGAATACGAGCTTCTCTAGTGGTTCTTCATCTTCCCAGAAGCATTTGCAGAGCCAGCAGCAGAGGCCACAAGGAGGTGCTGCCAACGGTGGGAATGGAGGAGGAAATTTACATCACATTCCTGCCACAAAAAATCGCCCATCACAGCAACAGCATCAGCATCAGCATCAGCATCAGAATCAGCATGTCTCCTTGGCACAACAACAATCACGTCAGCTGGAAGGTGAGGTGGGGGCAGAAGATAGCCCCTCAACAGCTGATAGTCGAATATCTCGTGCCACAATGAGTGTCTACGGTCAGAATTTTGCTATGCCAATTCATCCACACAACTTTGCTTTGATGACCCCTCCTGCTGCATTGGCTGGTGCCACCACTGCCAGTGGTGGCGGCAACGTAAATGACAAAAAGCCGCAGCAACCTCAACAGCAGGGCTTGAAAGGTGGAATTGAATCTTTGCCACCTCAAACGTTTGCAATGTCATTTGCTTCCATAAATGGTGCTACTAGTGCTCCTGGTATTGACATTTCATCCATGGCACATAATCATGCAATTCTTCAGAGCTTCCCAGAAGCTACAAGGCAGAGCTTTCAAATTATGGCAGCTGCAGCTCAAGTGGCACAACAAAAGAAGAATTTCAGAGTCTCCGAAGATGGTAAAACTGGAGGTAGCGATTCTTCTAATGCTGACGAAGAAAGAAAGGCCTTAGAAGGCAAGGCTCCGACAACTGTTGGGCCGTCCATTGCTTTTTCAAGGGACTTGACCGATTCCTCCGGTTCTGCCATGCCAGGCAACATTGTGAATCTTTCTTCTGGTCCTGCTCGGACCTCTCGTTCTCCCATGCCTAGTGCTGTTGGCACTTTGAATGCTTCAAGTTCTCAGCTGCAAGCTCAACTGCACCATCAGCAACAGCAGATGATTCAGCTTCATAAGCAGCAACAGCAGCAGCAGCAGCAGCAGTTTGCAGCCGCTGTGGCAGCTCGGAGTAAGACCCCAGCAACAAGTAATGGGAGTGTTTACTCAGAGCATTTGACTTCATCAGTTTCTGTGCCTGCTAAGTTTCCAAATGCTCACACTGCTTTTCCACAAAACCTTGTTCAAAGCAGCAATAGCGGCAGCCCTGCTCAATCTCCCCAATGGAAAAATAATACAAGAGCAACCACCTCACAAGCTCCGTCATCGCTGGCCCCCTCAACCCCATCAATACTAAAAAACCTCCCTCAGCAGCAAACTAGAGCACAGCAAAGCCATACGCAGATATCATTCAGCGCGAATCAAAAATCATCGACAACACTGCATGGGCAACAGCAACAGCCTCCAAGTAACAACCAGTCTACTTCTCCTCCAATGGTGATTGGCTCCCCGACAATTTCAATCTCCAAGGGTGCTACTGCTAGCGGAAGCCCAAGGACATCTTCCACTCCCGCTAGTAACAAAGTTGGCCAAGCCTCTGCTTTGCCACCACAGCAGGCGAAGAATTCACCCTCAGCTTCTAGCCAGAAGTCATCTCCGGTTGGTGGGAGGAATGTTCCATCAATTCTTGGCAGTCCTCATGTCAACTCTTCAAACTCTGGAGCTAAGCCCCAAATGCAGCAACAACAGTTACCAAAAAACATGCAGCAAGCGCAAATATTCTTCTCAACTACTTGCGTGCAAGCCCAATCTCCACATTCAACTAGTACTAGTTCTACCGCATCAGGTGGTGGTTACTATCTTCAAAGAAGGCATTCTGAACAACATAAGCAGCCTCAACAGCCACCGGGCTCATCATCTACATCATCAAGTGGGATGTTATCGCTGTGCTCTCCCGTTTCGCTAACCAGTGCCACCACTACTGATCCTGCAAAAGCAATTGCGGCTGCTGCAGCTGCTAGTAATATGAAAGGTGGTAGCTTACCATCACAGGGCATTCTCCATGCAGCCCAGTTTGCTGCACAGTCCTCGGGAAATCCCCATCCAGTCATGCCTTCCAGCTTCTCTTATGTTCACTCAGGGCCTGCTGCAGTTCAGGTGAAACCGGCTGAGCAGAAACAACCTGCTGGTGAGTAGTTTTATCTCTAATTCAATAAGCATATGCTCCAGATTGCAACATCCATTTATTTTCAGGGAATATCAATCTTTAATAAAGATTTAAATCAAATGGGGTAGTGATTTTACTAAGGGAACCACAATTTCTTGACCAGGCAATGACAATTTGCATGCATGCTGGCAGCCTGAGAAGAAATGAAATATGGTGCTCCGTTGATGGTTGGCATACATTTGACGGCGGGCACAAGACTCGAAGCAAAAAGTTCTGGGATGAACAACCCCCACAGTTTTGGGAAGAAGTTGAATTGAGTGGGAAGATCATCCCCCACTGAATTTGTTGGGAATGTGAATGCACGAGTATTGAGTGAATTAGTATCTGTGTACACTCGTCTATAATCTGACAGGGTTGATGGCAAAGTTGCTAATTAATTCCATTGGTTGGTTTTTTGATGGTAAGAGGCTGGTTTTGGAAGGAAAGAAAATTTTATCAGCATTTTGTATTGGCAAAAAAAGGAGGAAGATGTGAAGGACAGGTTCCAAGAGTTGTTCCTGGGGGAAGAATAGGAGAGGTTCCTTTTCTACTTTGTTGTCTTTGTTTTTTCCTCTTCTGTGTCTTGGGGGTTTAGTTTCATGGAAGAGCAGTTTAAAACAGTATCTTTTGGACTTACAAGTGTACTGGAGGGTGTATATTAATGTGTAAGGCCTCAATTTTTTTATTTAATTGCTGTCCATCTATTTGTATGATGATGATGGAAGGGTGCTTATATTATTGGCCCAGAAAACTTTGATGATGATATCTTTTTTGAGGGTGTTTTGGGAAAAAAAAAAAGAAGGGGGGGAGGGGGTGGTATTGACGATGTCATAATCAGTTTGGACAATTCATACTAAAATGGGATGATTTGTGAAGGAATTAAAAGGAGTAGGGGGTTGGGGGTATTTAATGGGTTTGTCTGTGTCTGTCACTAGGGCTATATCCAGCGGGGAAGAAGCCTAGCAATTTCTTCTAGTCTTGAGATAAAGCTTTGCTTGTTTGGTGATAAAAGGAAAATTAGTCGTCCATGTGTACTTAAACTGATCCAACATCTCTCAATAGTTAAAAAAAAAAAATAGATCACTTTCAACCCACCACCAAACTGCCCAACTCCTCTCTCTCTCTCTCTAATATAGCAGCTTTGTTGAAAACAAAAACTATTTAGCAGTGTTTGGTTGACAAAGCAAAGTTGTTGAAAAGGGCGCGGCTNTCTAGGGCTATATCCAGCGGGGAAGAAGCCTAGCAATTTCTTCTAGTCTTGAGATAAAGCTTTGCTTGTTTGGTGATAAAGGAAAATTAGTCCATGTGTACTTAAACTGATCCAACATCTCTCAATAGTTAAAAAAAAAAAAAATAGATCACTTTAAAAGCCTTCAACCCACCACCAAACCGCCCAACTCCTCTCTCTCTCTCTCTCTCTCTCTCTAATATAGCAGCTTTGTTGAAAACAAAAAACTATTTAGCAGTGTTTGGTTGACAAAGCAAAGTTGTTGAAAAGGGCGCGGCTCTTTTATAGTCAGCATCTTACACGTGGCCATTGTCTATTCCGAAGATATCATAACTTTATCTTTTACCATCCATTAAATTACAAATATTTCATTATTTTATTATTATACGAATATTTTATAGGAACATTTAATAATATCACCTATTGTGGACCCTACTTACCCTAGTGGGCCCCTATCTGTTTTTGGGCTTGGCTTCCAGAAACTCATTTGTGGGCACATGTGTCCAGTTATAGTGCCGNATTTCATTATTTTATTATTATACGAATATTTTATAGGAACATTTAATAATATCACCTATTGTGGACCCTACTTACCCCTAGTGGGCCCCTATCTGTTTTTGGGCTTGGCTTCCAGAAACTCATTTGTGGGCACATGTGTCCAGTTATAGTGCCGGAAAAGGGTGGATTCTTTTCACTTCTCTCATCTCTACACGTGTACCCACTGTGCTCTGTTTTTTATTTTTTACTAAAAATAAATAAATAAATTTTAATTTTTTTTTGGGGGTTGACTGATTGGTCATAGAATGGGCGTGCATTTATGGAAAGACTACTACTCTATTGGAAAATTTGTGAAAATTATATTCTAACCCTTTTATTTTTATTATTTATTATTTGATTAAAGTTCAATTTATGATTCATGTTTGATAATAATTCAAATCAAGATTTAAACCTTAAATTCATTTTTGATAAGATCCCAAAAAATAAACTTTTGGTATCATAATATTATTTTAATTATAATTCATTTTGGTTAAAATTATGGTTTTGTAGAGAGCTTAAAACATTTAGGTTCATCAAAAACCTAATTGATAATATTTGAATTATAATTTAATCTATTTAAATCAAAAACTTTTATATGGTACCGATAATTTTGACAATTAGTCATACCTTTTGAATTTTTGTAGATCATCTATACATTTAAGTAGGACCTATTGTATACAAATAGGTCATTCACTTATTAATTATAAATAATAAGTAAAAAAATTTAAAAAAATATTATAGAAGATCTGGATCTATTCCAGGTCATTTCACTATGTTTTTTGTTTTTCGATTAACCTTTTAAATTTGACAAAAAAAAAACATAAGATTTACTTGTCTTTTGTTTATTACTTTCCTTTTAGGTTAAGATTAGCAAGGACCCACAAAGGGAATCAACCCCATTACTTTCATTGAACCATTGATACTTGAAAGATTTGATTATTACTTGCTCTGACCCCACACAATTACCCAGAGAGAGAGAGAGAGAGAGAGAGAGAGAGAGAGAGAGAGAGAGAGAGAGAGAGAGGGGNTTGAAAGATTTGATTATTACTTGCTCTGACCCCACACAATTACCCAGAGAGAGAGAGGGGAGATGAATAGAAAACGCATGTGAGATATGTGGGTGGGGGGTGGAGGGTGATGCCAAATCTTTGGTATGGTGGAAAATTCAAAGTCTTTCTCTTTCTTCTTTTTGTGTCTTTTTCCTTTGTATAAAATAATCAAAGCTTGGGATGGATCACAGCCTAATTATCAATTAAATAAATAAAAAGCGGGAAAAAGTTCTATTCACACTCGACTTTTACTCTTTGTATAAAGGACTAGAAACAAAAAAAAAAAGGAACAAAAGGGCTGCAAGCATTTGAAATTTTCAAGCCTTAAAAGAGAGCAAATTACAAAACAAAGCTTTTTGAACCTGAAAATTGAACACCATTTCCTTCTGTTGAAATTTCAGAAGTTAATTAAAGGAGTATTTTTTTTGGGGAAAAAATTTAATTTCACATTGATTAAATTTCTATAAAGAATTTGAGTTTATAGATCATATTAGTGTTACATAATCATTGAGTTAAGTGAGATATTGAGATTTTTACGTGTGTAAAGGTCGGACTAGTGGAGAAGACGGTGTAATTTCGAGCTGATCGACGACCTATTTCTCTACAGACATATTTTTATTTATTTCATGTCATAAATATTTACTTTCAATTCTTTTTATCTTCTTCATCAACTGCCTAAGTTTTTTTGGCAAATTAAAACAATGCCTTTCAAAGCTTCTATTTCATTTGATTATGCATATCGGAGTGAAATTACATTCAATAAGATTAAGCTATTGTATCCCAAAGTATTTCTTTTACAAATGAACATAAATTATCTTAAGATAGAGATCCAGTTTGCGCCTCACATTATCGTTTACTTTATTTTTTTTATTTGTATTTTAAATATTATCATTGATAAATAATATTACCATCAATATTACATTTTTATTTGTAAAAACATGTCGGTATAGGGATTATTATCTCCAAGTCTCAAAAGGTGGTTCTTATTGGAGAACTCTAATTTACATTGTGCTCATTACTACATTGTAAACTAGTGTTCAGAAAACAAGTAACTAGGACCTCTCTCTCTCTCTCTCTATTAATGTTGTAAATGGATAATTTTCCACAGAAGTGACAGTAAAGCCACATTCTCTTATAAAGTAAAGTGCTTGGGAACAGAATTCCCACTTTTAAACCACTTGGCTGTGACACCTTAATGTGGAACAACAGGCAGGTGACTCAAACTTTACCACTGAAAAAAAGCAGTGGGACCCATCACATTTTAGTATATTTAGGGTGGGACCCAATAGTATTAACCTTTTATACAGATCAGACAGCAATGTTACAAAAACAGGATAACAACCAGAAAATCAGGGAAAGAGAGAGAGTAGGGGTAAGTGGTTCCCACAAAAGGACAGTCTGCTGTCTTATTGGTGTCAGTTAGGAGTCCCAAAATTCCACACATAGAGAGCTACGTAGACCGGGTTTGGATTCACGTACTGGGTTTGATATCTCAGACTCAAAAGGCCTGTATTCAATGCTTTCGCCGCCCCACCCATTCAACAGTGGTCCCCCATCTATGACTTTCCTAGGGTGGTGGGAGACCCACATAACCACATTCTTGGGCTGGTTAAGACTTTGCGTTTATTCACGAAACACCGTTCAAATAGTGGTGTGAATTTTGAAAGTTTTGGGCCCATGGGCTGGCCCATTAGCCAGTGGTTCATCCTGTCATGGGCGAGCCAATCAAATAGAAATTCAAGAAGTAGATCTTTAATCAATTTTGTTCAAATAGCATGCATTGTATAATTGAGAAAGTTAAACGAAAAACAACAAGAAATCTAAATAAAGGATAATGTGATTGGGAAGGTGTAGATAGGGATGACACTGGACTGAAAAAAAATGGGTATTTGTACAAATCTGTTCCATTTGGACCGAAGATAATTTATACGTATTAGATGGTGGACGTATACAGAGATATCTGTATAAACTCATACAAGGATGAACTTATCCTTATCCCCGTCCCGTCCCCGCTGTACCCGTTAAATATATATATATATAAAACTACACCCAGTTAAAACTCTAACTTACTCTCTATCAGCCGGCCGTCTCCATCGCTTTGTCTCTGCCTTTACCCTCTATTGTTCCTCAACGCTAACTGCCCCTCTGCTGTTCCTCAACNCGGCCGTCTCCATCGCTTTGTCTCTGCCTTTACCCTCTATTGTTCCTCAACGCTAACTGCCCCTCTGCTGTTCCTCAACGTAGAGTGAATAAAAATAAATTTCAAATCCTACAACAACTGGCCTTTTGTACAGAAAATAATAGACAGAGAAAGGAAGAATGAGAAAAGAAAGCAACGGTTAGTTTTCTCTTTCAATGCACTGGATTACAGAATGTGGGCATTGTGTAGCCACAGTAATTTTACTCTCACTGTAACATCCATATTGGAGAGGTTAGTTATCCTATTGATTACTCTTATTTGAACAGATGCTCAAATTTTCCTTGTAGATTATGTAATTGACTGTTTATTTGTGCCGTCCAACCAATTATTCCAAATGAACCCCCTATTGGAGAGCTTGGGAGGTCATAAGGTCAAACCCACCCATGATATTAATCCAAAAATTGTAACACTTGGGAGTATAACATGACAAGGGTTAGAAACTTCTGTTGATATAAAGATGATCTTGGTATTGTGGTGATGGATGGCTTCTTTGTTTTGGAAGCTTAGTTTCATCAAAATTTAACCAGTGAAATGAAATAAATTCGATGCTCAATCATAGCTCTCCGAATTCAAAATAAATTTGTTTTGGACTTGGGTTTATGTTTGGGCTTGAGCTTAGGCAGGTATGGGAGAAGTAGGGATGGGGACGGAGATTATAAATTTACCCGCGGACGGGGATGGAGATTAAAATTATACTCGTTAACGGGAGTGGACCGGGAATGGAGACTACACCCCGCTTCCGCTTTGGTCCATTGACAT